AAAGTCCCCGAGAAGCAGACTGCACTTTATTAAGAATAATATACTTTAGTCACACTTGTTTCCATAGGGGAAAAGATTTAGAATATCTACTATAAGTCAGACTGTGGAGTCCAAATAGAAGAACAGTTATTTTATTTTATTTATTTATTTTTTTTTATAATTTTATTTATTTATTTTTTCCCCAAAGCCCCAGTGGATAGTTGTACGTCGTAGTTGCACATCCTTCTAGTTGCTGTATGTGGGACGCAGCCTCAGCATGGCCCAACAAGCGGTGGTCGGTGCGCGCCCGGGATCCGAACCCCGGCCGCCAGCAGCGGAGCGCGCGCACCTAACCGCTAAGCCACGGGGCTGGCCCATGAACAGTTATTTTAAAAATAATGCAATCAGGACCTGCCCCGTGGCTTAGCGGTTAAGTGCGCGCGCTCCGCTGCTGGCGGCCGGGGTTCGGATCCCCGGCGCGCACAGACGCACCACTTCTCTGGCTATGCTGAGGCCGCGTCCCACATACAGCAACCAGAAGGATGTGCAGCTATGACATACAACTATCTACTGGGGCTTCGGGGGAAAAATAAATAAATAAAATTTAAAAAAAAATAATGCAATCATATTTCTTGAAAACCTTCCACGTCTCCATTATTTACTGAATGAAGTCTCGCAGGCCATTCACAAAGTACTTGCTCACAATGGCTCCAGTGCCATCTTCCAATACCTTCTGTTTCAAATCATTGGCTCACTATTTCTCACCAAATCATGCACACTTACATGCAGCATCTTCCTTTCATATAGTCTCTTCCTGGAAAAAAAATCTTTCCAGAACATCACTAGCATAATCCTATATTTCATTCACAGCACAGATCAAGCTCCATTGCTTCACTGAGGGTTTGCCACAGTGGCCAGCACTCCATAGTTCTGCTCCCTCTAACTCCATATGGCACATGTGCACAGGATTCTTTTGACACAGCATGGATCTTTTTATAGACATATTTCTCAACTAGACTTTAAGTCCCTTAAAACCAAATATAAAATCTTATAATTTCAGAAACCCAGCCCCTATTTCAGTACACGATTTTATATCTGGCTTTTTAAACACTAAACACTTTACATTACATCATAATCATATTCCTATGTGATTAGAAAGCCTCAGGAAAATTCATTAATGACTATTGAGCCAGGATATGTCCTTATTGTTTTATTTCCAACAGAGTAGTGCCACAGCTGACATGGACAGTCACAGGTTCATGCATTCCTTTACTGCGTAAGCTTTACTGAGCAATGCCTAGGGGCTACATCCTAGAAACATAAAAAAACATAAAATAAAATATGGTTTTTCTGCCAAAGGAAATGACAATTATTTGGCATAACCTTCCTGAAAGTAGTAGCATTTGTGATTTAAATAAGGAGATTATGTTTGACATTTAAATCAAGAGGAAATGAAATTACATGTGTGAAGTGAAAAATTGATTTCAAGGTAATGAAACTGTGAATAAAGAGTTCTGGGAGGGGATCAGTTAACTGTTTTTGAATAACATACAAGATGACGACTAAAGAAAAACAGCATCAGGGGAAGATAATGCTGTCTTTTCTATGCATCTAATTATCTCAGTTTCTAGTATCTGAGGCAGCGGTTGGGGGATGAGCAGCCACATGCCAACTGTCACTGATGCCCCCAGTCCAGGACCAACATCCAACCGACCCCAGAAACACAGCCTCTTTAAATAGGCCCAGCAAGATCCTTATTGAAAAAACTGCATTATACCTCAGGCCATAGTCATACCTAAGTGGCTTTAAAAATTTCTCTAACATTGACTTCACATTCTTCCTGTTTTCCTGAATTATATTTGATATTTGAGATGTTCTTTGTACTGTTTCTTCTCTTTATAATATATAATTTCTATCCTGCATTGTTCCGTAGACTTTTTGACTTGAAATCTAAATCAGAAAGCAATACTGACATAAATGTGTCACTTTTATAAAAATAAGTATTCAGTAAGTGTTATTCAATTAGTTATATCTCCAAAATTGAGAAGGCCCAAGGATGATTGGAATTTTGTACAAGGGAAGTTATTCTTAGAAACTTCAACTTACACCCCATGAATATGTATTCTGGTATTCCCACTAGGTATATGTGCAATTTCTTCAAGAGTTCCACTTAATTTCTTCCTTTCTGCTATACTGCATTGGTTAATTTGCCCTTGCAGCCACCATGGAGTTGATGAAGCTCCCATTATAAGCTGTCATCACATTTAAAATCTTCTTCCACAACAAGCCAGCTTCAGTTACCTAATTCAGAAATTCTTCCTCTAACAGCTCACACAGCACCTACTATATAACTATATCAACATTTATCACATAATTATAATTGTGTGATTTCTTGGCTATCACTCCATCTTTACTGCAAATCCCTCGAGAAAGACTCTGTCCTGTTCATCTTTGTTTCCTAGCACCTAACACAGGAATCATCACACAGTAAGTGTTGGGAAGGTTCTGACTGAATGAGGAGAATCCACTTGTGAGCATTTCTGAGAAGAAGGGAGATAGGTGTCTCTGGCATCCATGATTCCAAGCAGCCGGCCTGCGTCTTCTCTCTCATTGTCTCCCTAACTGAAGAACCGTTACTGTCAAGTCCACGAAGAAGCTTGAAGATACAAATCAGGTGTTGGAAAAAAAAAAAAAAATTCTGTTCTGTTCCCCAATATGAAAACTGGTGACGCCTAAAAAGGGTTTATAAAGAATCTGAATTTCGTAATCTCTTTGTCCCTTATACAGGAAAGCTACACAAGAATTTCTTCTCTAAGTGCCAGATCAACAAGGATTAAAAGTGACTCAGCTATATGGGGCTGGCCTGGTGGCGTAGTGGTTAAGTTCGCGCACTCTGCTTCGGCGGCCCCAAGGTTTGCAGGTTCGGATCCTGGGCACGGACTGACACACTGCTTGTCAGGCCATGCTGTGGCGGCGTCCCATATAAAATAGAGAAAGATCGGCATGGATGTTAGCCCAGGGTCAATCTTCCTCAGCAAAAAGAGAAGGATGGGCAACGAATGTTAGCTCAGGGCTAGTCTTCCTCACACACACACACACACACACACACACACACAAAATGACTCAGCTATAAAACAACTTCTAGTTCTGCACAGGGACACTCATCTACTTGAATATGTTCTGTATATTGAAACTAATTACCATGGTAACCAGTAACTGTGGTGGATTTTGTGAAATGCCTTTCATTGATTAATCTCTAGTAGGTTTATTTTTCTATCTTATTCTCCTTTTGCTTTAGACTTTCCATCTACTTATTTTATCCTAACATCCTTTCACGCTGAGGTAAGAAATGTGTAATAAATGACAGAAAATAACGTGTTTGTAATAGAAATACTGGTTCAAAGCTTGTACAGGCACAGTTAAATCTCATTTGTGATGAGTTATATTCCACAGGCAGTTAAAGGCACATTAATATTGGGAAGCTATAATACATGCATTTTATCTTATCTTTTTTTTATATTCATGAAATAAATGGAAAAAAAAGATTTAACTTTTGAAGTCATTTAAAATTATATTTTTTAAAGGAAATAAAGGCTAGGGCCATTTTGAAAACAACTAAGCTTGTTTAATTGAAAGTTCTTTGAAGAAATTTCAATGCTTCTCCAAAGTTTAAAACTAAAAAAAGAGAAGGAGGAGGAGAAAAGCGAAAGCAGCCACAGCTTGGTGACTGTAACACTGCCCTAACAGTCACAGTGACGTTCACATCCTGTGACATAATGCGAACAGTCAAGCCTCCTACTCCAGCAGAGTTCTAGGTAAGTCAAAGCTTCCAGACATTCCAAAAAGCATGTGCTTTACCAAGAAGATGAAATTTGGACTTGCCACAGTTAGGAACATACAGCAGGAAGGCAATACAACTGTTCAGATACTCACTTAAAAAAAGTAAACAGATAATTGAATCACACGCTTGTAACTGATATTCCACCTGTCTTTTACCACATGCTAGATGCTTACAAATCCTCAGCAACAGTTTACGTTCTAAGTTCTCAGTCACTAGTCTAAGGCTACTTTCCAGCTTCCCCCAGTGTAAAGGATGTTAAACTAAAAAAAAAAAAAAAAAAAAAAATGATAACAATAACAAAAGAAGAAGTTCAAAGTAAGAAGCCAAATAGTTCACAAATCTTTTTCATTCGGTAATCATTAGACGGGTAAATGAGAGGATGTGATTAAGCTTCAACAACTTAATGGTGTGCAGGTTAACGCTGCTGGGGGAGGATGTGAGATGCTCTTCACTTGATGTCCATGACAGAAGCCCATCAACTATTAGTTGCAAAATCAATTCATAGTATTTGAATACCATAAAACAAACAATAGTTCTTTCACAGACAAAAAAGCAGCAGAATAAAAGAAGCTCGTATAACATTTAAAGTATTTAAGGATACATGTTCTATAAAGTAATGAAGTCATATTAACAAACAATACAAAATTTTGAAATCTGAGTGTGCAGAGATTGAAGGCAAGGAGCCACAAGCCACATGGTAGGAAATAAATCTATAGCTTGTCTAATTTTTTAAAATTTCAAATGTAATCATAAAAATCTTATAATATTAAAGAACTAAATAAACATAAAAATGAACTTAAAATGAATCATTATCTAAGTTATCCAGACAATTTTTATCGGATAAATATTTCCAGAAAATTGCTTTAAGCTCTGCCTTAACTTTGCAAATTCAGCTGTAGTTCTGACTGTCAAGTCTATCATCAATTTACAGCAAAGTACAATGTTTACATGGATGTGATGAACAATAAAATTATTAGGATAGTTTAAATGCTTGATTTCTTCATCAGCCTAAGTGCTTTCTGTGATTATGATGGATACAAATGAACGAAGTACCAGTTGCCCCCCAATGAAAATGTTTCTATTAAGCATAGGCTAAATCCACACCACTCTAAGTCTGAGCATAAACGAAGATAAAACACTCCACATTACGATTCAATTAAAAACCTCCGAGATACGTTACCTGCCGCCTCGAGCACTGAAAGGCACTACATGGATTCCCAGAGGCCCTCCATCGTTGGAGACTTGTACGAGCTTTACCATATCACTGTGAGACAACGATGAATGAGGGAGCATGAACATGGACTGTAAACAAACCAAAACCAAAAGCAAGCAAAACCAAAACCACAACAATAGAGACACATAAGAAACAACAAAAAGAGAACAAAACAAAAATCCCACCAGCACACACGCATATACATACACATTCTGGAATATAAGCATGGTGATGGAGGCAACATCAAACACTACATACCTGAACACTAGTCTGATGGCACGGAGGGAGAGCAATCATCAGAAATAACTACATTAAAAATGACACAGAACCATTTCTCTCGGACCACTCTCTTCTGTGTAATTCAAGTACACATTTTGTAACTCAAATCTCTAGACGTCCACTCAAAATTTTCCATCCCAATACCTGTTTCAATGACTATGAAGATTAACTGAATAAAGGTGTTGCAGCTGCATAGCACTTTATAATTTACAAAGTGCTCCCATATATGTCACATCACTGACCCTTCCAATAACCCAATAAGGTCAAAGTTTTTGCGCCTGTAGGGGACAGTCCAGATGTGACCCAGCTACCCTCACTTCCCACTGCTCCACAACAAGTCAGGTCACCATTTCCTAAACTGCTGTGAGCGCAGTTTATGTGCAGGTTATAAAACTCCTTTCTCAAAACCAATAGATATCTGCTAAAAATTAAATAATTTTCATAAAAGTCTTTGTAATTGAACTTTAAAGTCATGAAGATATTTATATGAAGTAACATGAAGTTACTTCTGTTAAATAACTAAAGTACTTTACTATTAATATAATAATAGTAATTACTTATTTTTTATTAATGAAAATTAGTAATTTGGAGAATGTAAATTTTCTAAACCATTTAAATGAGATTTTACTTTCTTTGTTGATTTTTCTGTGTATGTGCGTATTGCACAGAAATCTAAGAAATATTCATCTAACAATCAATATTTGGAAACAGCATTTCAATTAAATATCTAGTTTAAGCAACCTGGACAACTATAAATGATTACCAAATGGATTTGTCTAAGATCACAGTACAGTTTTTATATAATGGAAAACGCCAATTCTTCAACTGTATTTCTTACATAAAAACCTGATACTATGAATGTCCTGATTATATAAGGCAAAGGCTAAAGAAAATTAAAGATAAGGATATCAAATAAAAACAAAACTGAAAATATGTGCATAGGTTTAACTACATACACTAAGACAAAATAAAAATTTTGCCGTACTGACAAAATATTTTACTCAAGTAATACTATTTAAATGGATTTTACTTTTTTTAATATTTTCATAGAACTTTGTAACATCCTATTTTAGATACTGTTAGTATCACTTGAACATCTATTTAATGATTGGATTGTCAACTAAGAATAATACGGTAACTTTAATAAATTTCTTTTATTCCACAGTCTTTCTAAAAATAACTACGACATGGCAAGTAGTGCTTAAATGTAAATACTTGGAGAGTGCTGGCTACTGTATATCCAAACAATCTGATTCTAGAGCCTATTTAATCTCACTGAGAAGGTTCTTAGAGCCTTCCCTCAGAAGACCAAGAGAAGACAGAATTAAGAGTTTAAATGTTAATATCTAAACCCTCCAACTTTTACCCAAAATCAAAGAAAAAATTCAGAATGACTGCCCTTTCTGCTCTAAGAAGTCCTGAGAACACCTTCCATTTAAACATGCCAATATTTAAGATAATTGTAAAGTTGTGATAATATGGTAAAGTTTTTCTTTAAGTATAGATTTTATACTTAAAATCTCATTCAAGGTCCCTAAACTATGACCTCTAATTTTTCATCAAATATCTTGAGAGATTCTATTTCTTCAAAAAAATATATACTAAAATGACTATCGTTTACATGACCCAACTGGTTTTTCAAGTAAAGTATGTCTACAATTTTTTTTAATTTAGCAAAGTTGAAGAACAAACCAAAATACTGACATACAAAGCAATGTGAAAACAGTTACAGTGCTGTTAACATGACAGACATTTTCAGCCAAATACTATTAAATTATAATATAAAATAGTATTTTCCTAGGTATGAAACTCAGGACAGGTACATGTGAATCTCCATGCTACACTTCTTACATTAGACAATTAACTCAATAGACAAAAGACGCTTTTTGGAAAACAAACCAATGCAAGGCATATTTTTAACTAAGCACAAACATTCCACATGCCATATGCTTTTGGAATACTTGCTGTTAACAGTGATGCTACATGTATGTTACAAATTTCATTAAAATCATCAGTAACTTACTCCAGACAAAAGCTGGGTACGTTCTCCAAACCAGTGTCAGCATGTCCGACCGGTTCAACACGGCTGTTGTCTTCTTCTGTACCATCCTCATCCTAGGGAGACAGCACAACACAAAGAGAAGTACGCTCTGTGTTAGGTTTATTTCTATAATGTGAAAGGAAACTGGGTAAAACTAGAGTCTAATAGGCACTATGATCATGTTAACTAGGTCTTTCCTCTAGGGAGGATGACCTTTAATGATAAGACGGGTATGTGTATATGAAAAGCTGCACTTTAAAGCAAATAGTCTCCTGAGTTAGCATATCCCAGAAAGTGAACAAGATACCACTGCAATACAGAAAGAAACCACTAGAACTTCTACTTACATTAACTTTCTTATTTTTATTTCACTTTTTGATGTATGTTTTAGGAAGTAATTATATATTACTACAATGCTATATTAATAAAGAAATGTACACGACACTGGGGATTCATGTTTAAAATTTTTACTATTGAGATCATTATAAACCTTAACGACTACCACAATCTTCAAAGTCGTATTTGTCAGCTCCTCAGTTCCTACTAACACAGCTTGTCAAAATGAGCCAGCAATAAGTACATTCCTAGACTTAAATCCTTCGTCCTGTGAAATTTCACACAAAGTTACCCCAAGCCAACTGAGTGATTATAGAGAGGTATCTGTAAAGGAACTAAGGTCTTAGCCATAAAGAACCACTTCTGTTATGAAGGACCAAGCACAGGCAAAGGCATGAACATCAATCCAATCAACCCCCACCTTTTATTCTTCCTTTTACAAAGGCAATATTTTATAAAAATGATGTTCCCCCATGTTGTAGAAACTGAGTAAGAGTAAGTATGCTGGTACTCCAAAAGATGCATGTGCAATAAATGTGATGCTTCATAAAAATAAATGAAATGCCACCCAGGAATATGCCTTACTTTATAATCTTGGCCATTGTCTTTGCATCAAGGAGTTCAATAACAGTTAAGTTGGCTTTTCAGGATTATTTGAATAATGATAAACATGCCCCTCTGATATCAATGGTCTTATTCACCAAATTAGAATACTTAGAAAAGACTCAGAATCTCCAAGCATAGTGGCTAAGAGGCTCACACGTGCTTCACCTCAGATCCACACTGTCTGGCACTTCGTAGGTACTCTGTAAATATTTTACGAAGGAAAACAAAATCATTCCTAGGAATCTTTGGGGTAATAAGTTTCTAAATACAACAAAATAAAATTTATCTAATCTATTTCTTGGAAGTTTATGTGTATAACTTATGTATATATATAATTTGTTAGGCTTATGCCTTCTACTATATAAATTTGATAACAGTCATTTTATATGTGAACTTATTAAACCACCTATAGTCCAGAGTCGACTATTAGAGAAAAATTTCATAGTTTTAATCATGTATTTGAGAGATTCATAGTAAAAATTTATATGCCATCAACAGAGGCATCAATCAACAAAATGATAAGCAAAAGTTATAGGTTCAAGACACAGTGTCAAACAATATTTTAAATTATTGAAGCAATATTAAGGCAAGACAGAGCAGTTGGTACTGCCCAATTGATATTTCCTCTGAGAATCTACCAAAATAAGAAGCTGAACGCACCGAGGTTTTCAATGAGCTGTAGACAGGCTCCGTGCGTCCTCAATGGCAGTGCACTGCATGAAGCCAAGCTACTTGAAGACTGATGATCCTGTGTTTTGAGAGGCTCTAATATACACTTCTTAGCCATCTATCTCTTTTAAGCACCAGCACATAATACATTTCAAAGGTTAACTAGCATCTTGAACCTGCCTAAGAATCACACTTTGAAGGTAAACATGAACTGCCAAAACTATGTTTTCCCATTGGGAGTGGGGATAGGGAGGAGAGCAAAGCGATCGTTTATAAATCAGATGGAAAACATTAAAAAAATCTTACAAGTCAAAGACATTTTGTTTCAGGATTCATTAATAATTTAAGCACCACTGAAATGTCACCACGATGCATAACCAGTTGAAACACCTAAGCTGTACTATGTAACAGCCACATAAATGAAATGCCCCAAACTACAGGGATAAAACAGTAACTGATAATTTACACATTCATTGTTCCCACAGTGGCTATTATCAGGCCCCCAAGAGCATGTAGAATAGTATTTCACGCAGCTGCACATGGCGTTCGTTCAGTTTAGATTGTAACATTCACTGCCGGAAGGCTGAGCGGCATTGCTGTGGGAACCACAGCTCAGAATTTCCCAACTTCTGGATGTGTGACTATCAGCTCCTCTATTGCTTTCCTTTGTTGTTTGGTACTTTTTTTAAGCTGTGACTGAACATAGTTACTTTTAGCCAGAGTTATACACTGAATTCCATTATAACCATAGTAAATGAAGCTTGGTTATTATGTCAAGTCAATACTGAAGGGCTATAGTATTAAACTACACAGTGTTAAAAAATTTCCAGGCGAGTCAATATACTTTTTACTCTTTCCCTTCTCTCCATTTTATAGCAGAGCATAGTGGTTAAGAGTGTGAGTTCGAGAGTTAAACAGACCTGGGTGTGAACACCAACTCCACCATTTGCCAATTTTATATCCTTAGGCAAGTTATATATCCCTTCTGTGTTTCCATCCCTTCTTTTGAAAAAAAAAAAAAGGAACAATAAAAACATCTTCTTCTTAGGACTACTCAGAGGAATAAGTAAGATAACCCAAGTCACAAACATAGCATGGTACCTGACACACAGTAATTGCCCAATAAATGTTAGCTGTTATTGAAAAGAGACATTAATAATAAATACATACCTCACTAAATGCTTTAGGCTAATGTTACACAATGATGTTACACAACTTTTAAGAGTATATATTCATCCATTCATACTCTGTGCCTTGTAATACAATATAAAACATATCACCTACACAATTAAATACTAAATATATCATCTACATTTTATAAACCTGCAAAAAACCTGCTATTTGTTGTGCTTTGCTGTATACAAAGTACTTTCATTGTAAAATGCCTTTGGAATGAGAAATCAAAAAATAAACAACTAAATGCTGCATTCAATCAAGGAAATGACAGGAGGAGGAAACATCATGGGTTACTGGTTGAGGAAACTGATGTCAAGAACTTGAAGGGTCTATGGTTTTACCCTACTTGAAAGCTCATAAGTTAGTCTTCCATAGCTTCATGGATGCTGGCAGAGGAAAGGGGACCCGCGGGTCAGAGACAAAGGACAGTTCACTACAGCAACTGCATTAGCCAGAGTATCATCCTTTTATGCACTGGTTCCTCGAGCTAACGTCCTCACAAGGCGATGTGAGGAGGGTCAGGGGACACTGTCACACAAAGAAGAAACCTGAGCTTAGAGAACCCGAATCTTCTACACAGCCAGTGAGCAGGCCTGCTCTTTGTTATGGAGGGAGACACTATGCCTGGGTCCCAAGGTTGTTCACACATACATTCTCGAAAGGCTAGTCCAGAACAAAGGCCTCTGTTCCCAAGATGTACAAAAATGCAAGAGAACCATAGAGAATTATCTCCCAACAGAAGTTTAACCTAAGTATTGCCAAATGATAGCATTTGTATAATTACTAGCAAACTAAAACTAGGAATATCATTAACAAACACTCTATGACAACAATGTGTTCTTAACAATAACATTAAATTCTACAGATAAAAGAGTCACACCTTCTACATCAAGGACAAAATTATTTTTCAGTATAGAACTCGATGCTCAACCAAACAAACAAATCAAGAGTGAAAGTTGAAAAAATTTTTCACACATGCAAAGTCTTTACTTCCCACAGACCCTTTCATATAAAGCTGTTTTGGGATGTGCTCCAGCAAAATCCAGGAAATTCAATAAAACGATAGATAGAACCCAAGGAAAGTCCCAGAATATGGTGAAAAGACAGCCCAGAGAAGCAAAAACCAGTTCAGATTAGAGCAGCAGGATGGAGAGGTCTGGGAAGTCAATCTCCATGAGAAAAAAGTAATTAACAATTGGTCTGATATTCTGGAACATCTGGGAAATATTTTAACAGACTCGATAGAGAATGTGGGGGAAAAAATTAAAGACACATATAGAGAAAACAAAACAAATTCCAAAAAGTCAAAGCAATCATCTCCAGGGACAACAGAAGAAAATGTGTAGGAGAGGAATTTTCATCAGAGTACCTGCTTGGTTATTCAGTGAGCATCCTTACATTGCCATATAATGTGACACTGGCCACTGATTTAACTCAGACTTCTGATGTAACAACACTGAGAGGATGGGAACAGGGAAAGTGCAAGGGGCATAAAAGGAGAAAGTCTCATCTTTCTTAATGGCAAGTCAACAGATGTCAATAACTGGTAACCAGGAAAGAGCAACATAAATATTTTATTTAGACACAGGGAAGTAAATATCAGAACCAACATCTGCATAAATTGAAAGTTGTAGCCTCTGGGGAGAGAGGGTGGGGGAAGCAGCAGCAGTAGGACAGAGAGACTGCTAGTTTTTCATTAAAAGTCTTCAAGTGTTATTTATTTATGTGCATTCTGACTACACATTTGAAATGCCCACCAAGGGGAAGAAGGGCTCTTTAGGTCCCACTAAACATCCACTCTCAAGACCCCCAGAGGCCAGCTGGCATCAGATTTACTCCAAAGGACATAAGGCAGGAAACCCAACTTGCCAGCAAGCAGCATCCTGCCTTTGTCCTTGGAAGGAGTGGTCTGCACAGCTGCCCATGAGCTCTTCTTGTGGGTCCCCCTGGCTGACAGCTCAGGTGCAGGAAAAGAGACTCCCATCAGCTGGAAGCAAGCACTACTCTGGCTTACAAGTCTCATGCCCCAGAGAAGCCAGTATCTCTTACAACAACACCATAGGCACAGCTGCTTGTCAGATAGTTTTTTGAGTCCAGGTGCAATTTACCAATCAGAGGTCACTTCTACCATACAACAACAGTCATGGAATCCTTTATCAGGTTTCCAGAGAAAGGGAGCCAAAAAATAACCAAAGTTTAAATTCTCAGCAGAAAAGGCAAAAGATTTTGTTAACCCTTTACCTACCCTATTATACTGATCTAAGCAAATTTTTTAAAAAGATAGAGG